TAATTTGTAAATATCTGATATATATACAATAAAGACAAGCCATGCTGACCTGACTGTGGGTTAAAAAAAAAAAAAAATTAATAATAAAATAATAGAAGACTATACTGTATGATTTACTATTGAATTATCAAATATTAATATATATATAAATATTAAATTTCTTTAAAAAAAATAATATATTTTTATTATAAGTTTCAACTTTAATAATTTTTAAATCTTTAATTATAAAATAAAAAATTTAAAATTTATATATAGTTACTTTTAAAAGTTTGAGTTCACTTATTATATTTTTATAATAAATTTTAACTTTAATAATTTTTAAATCATTATTATAATGATGATTTGTAAGTAATAAATTTGATAGCTAAAGGATAATCCAAGTTATTAAAAGAGCAAAATATCATTTCCTAAGTTATATCTAAAGAAGTTAAACTTCTAAGATAGATGAGCTGTTATGTGAAAGTCTTTTAAATTATATAAAAAAAATATTAAATATATAATAAAGATAAGCTATATCAAACTGATAGTAGGTCAAAATAATAATAATAATAATAATAATTTTAAATTATTAATTATACAATCAAAAATTATAAAGTTTATATATATTATATATTTTATTTCTTATATTTTTTTAATAATTTTTTTATTGATATATTCTAAACTTTTATTATTGTTAAATAACTTTATTTTTTTTATTGATTATCATATAATGTATTTATGATAATAGCTAATTAAAATTCTTCAAAAGTAAAAATCTGATAAAGAAAAAAAATTTTAACAATAATAAAACTTTAAAAATTACATATAAAAAAGATCAAAAACAAAAAATAAAATAAAATAAACTAATAGTAAGATAAAATATATAAAAATTTAAAAAAAAATGTTAAAGGAAAAAATAAAAGAACTTTATATTCTTTAAAAAAATCTTTACTAAAAATCTTTTTTTATTAGAAATCAAATTTTTTAAAATATTTTTTTTTTTTTAGCCATCTGAGAAGCTTATCTATTTATGATCTTAAATATTTTATTATAATTGTTTGAAGTATTTATTGCCTATTTGAATATAATGTCCTATTTGATACTTCTTTTATTTCAATATTGATTTTATATCTATGTGTATGAAACAACAACTTAATAAACTCCAGGTTCTTATATAACCTTTCAATTATATTATATAATTTTTGATATTTTTAATTAAAGAAGTTTTGCTAGGAATTATTTTTTATTACTTAAAAAATTTAATTTTCAATCTTGTAATAGTAAAAGAGTTTTAATTAAATAAAGCTTCTAATTGATTATAGTATTATATCACAATATTTAATAAAATATATTCTTAATCCTAGAGAAAAAGAACAACTTATAATCTTCTAATTTTCAGTCTTATTGCTGAATTAGAATAAGAAAATAATTTTCTTTATATATTTTGTTTAATCAAAATAATAAGAAGTTAAGAATTTCAGTTTTAATAAATAATCACCTTTTCACTATCTAAAAAATTTAATGTTTATTTTAACGGTCTTATGGTTTTTTTACTTCAGTTATACTTTATTTGAAGAGGTAAATTAATTATTTCTTTTTCTTTTATCAATAACGTTATTTAAATATATGTATATAATCAATAGAAACTTGTTTATATCTTGTTATCAATATATTTTATATTAGTCAATTAAATATTAGGTGATGTTGTGCTATTAAAAATTTAGAATTAAGTTGGGACAGATAAAATTTTTTCAAAAAACCATAAAAAATAATAGATATTTTAAGAGAATTAAAAACAAATATATATTGAAGATGGGTAATAAATCCTTTATTATTAACAGAACCTCTATTTTTATGTCACTTTTAATTTCAAAAGGTGATATTCTATCAATAGATCCTTTTATTTCTTAGAACCTTCTTACCTTTAATAAAGAAAATACATACTTAAGTCTATTTAAATCATTAGAGGCTCAAGTTTTTGTTCAAAGGAATTTGCAAACAAGTAGGAAAAAATAATGATGACTCTTAAAAGTAAGTTTAAAGTTGTTTTAAGAAAAGTATAAAGATTTTATTAGTCAAGAAGTATAAAAACTTCTTGCAAATATCTTTTTTGTGTATTATCAAAAAATTAGTAAAAAGAGTTTTTCTAATGTTATTTTTAAAGAATTATTAAATTATAAAAAATAATAATCATTTTATAATTTTTTTAAAAATTAAATTTTGAATATCTAATCAAAAAAAATTTTTTTTTTGGTTTAATCACAATATAAAATATCAATTCATTTTAAAATAAATCTTTATAAAATTTTAATTTTTAATTTAAAAAAATTCAATAAAAATTTTAATGATAATTTTCAAAAAATAAAATAATAATAATACTTTTTACAAGATTATTATAAAATAATAAGAAATTTTATAAGTATACAGTTGTATAAGCTCTATTTATTATCAATATAATACAATAAACACAATATTTATTTTTTTTAAAGAAGACGATTAAATTAAAATTTATTTATTAGAATAATAGAATTTTTATATTTAAAACTTTAAATAATTTACTTAGTATGAAAAATATCGTAAAATAATCGCCATTTAATTGTATCAACTTAAAATTCATTGAACCGCGATTTCCTAAACGTGGGGATTTCTTGATTTAATTTTTTTTTTTCTGTTCATAACGTATTAAAAAAATTATTTTTTTTTAGAAATAAGCAGATTCAATATATTTGTGAATTATAGAAGGATTGAAAATCACGAGTGACCGTAATTTTTTTATCATATTGATTTTTTAAATAGAAAAACTTAACCTAATGAAAGCTACTTGAGAAAAAAAAAATTTTTTTTAATACATGTCCCGGAGCGCGAGGTCAGGGGAAGCTTTTTGAATAGCCCGGATCGACATATTATTAATATTGAGGGTTCGTCACATTGAATCTCGCGCATTCTTGCATAAGGATGCCTGTATTAAAAAGAAGTGTAAAGAAACGTGCGTCAAAAAGTTGATTAAATAAGTTGAGTAACTTACTCATGGTGAGCAGAGCAGTTTCATCCATTCTTTCAAACATGTCGGGACGGGGATTATCGAAAGTAAAGTGGTTGCTCGTAAAATATCGAATTGAATCAAGAAATTCCTATAATGTCGAGTGATTAATGACGAAAACAAAAATTGTTACAAAGTGAAAATCCAGGTCACCTACTGGTTCCGGCAAGGATAGCGGAGTCAACGAATCATTCACATTTGCATCGTCAAATTCAGATAGGGATGCAAGTAAGGATGTCGATGATTCATCTTCACAGGCGTTTGTATCACCGAATTCGTTCGCCGAATTCAGATCGTGACCATCCCACCTCTCGTTACTATCCAAATTTGGCATTTCATATTCACCAGAAGCAGTAGACTTTTGGTTTAACGGACGATTCATTATGCGATCCCCCGTGTGGATGATGTCTCTATCGAAATTTTATTAGAGAATTATTTTCGACTTCTGAAAACACGACAATGATTGTGCATACACGGAAATTAAAAATCGTTTGTTGTAAAGTGTAACCCACAAATTATGCTCACTATCACCGGCCTCATCAATGGTCATGTGGTTATCCGATGGATTATTTACTGTGGAAGCATCATCGTCTCCTACATTATTACTGCTTGATCCGGGGACGTTTTCAAGATCGATGGGTGCGGAGACGCCTTGTTCATGCATAAAGCATTTGTTTTTGTTTTTTTGTTTTTTTAGGAAAATTGTGGCTGCATAAGTTTTACGTTAGAATGTCTTACCGCCGTCACCCTTCGTTGTGGAGGAATCGCCGGCCAAACGATTTTCACCGAGAGCTATTTCGCTGGGTTCATGTCCATCGATCTCAGAGGGATCTACTCACGTTCACCAAATCGTATTTCTCGGGTTAAGCGAGGAAGTGACTTAATTAAAATAAGAATTCATGATCATGCTTACTGATTTGCATCGGTCTTTGTGTGAAATGATAACTTCTCATTTTGCCTAATACATTTAATACAAACTTCTTGTTCCTGAATAGATTATCGCAGATGCGTTGTTTAGAAACATCGAAATACGAAGCAGCCTCCTTGACCGACTTCGCAATTTTGATCAGGTTTAACTTGCTATCATAAATATAAATCGGAGAAGTTCTTTTTATAGGCAAACTTAATCTCGCCAATTCGACTGTGTAACGAAAAGGTGATCAAAATGAAACTGTAAAAGCTCGTTCGACCGAGGGAATAAAGCAAAACTTACAAGAAGCTTTGTCTCCAAAGGACCTTGCGTGATTGAGCGTTTTCGCATCAAAACACGTTGAATATATGTACCACCGCCATCTGAACAATTTGCCAGTGTCGGCAAAACGGCGAAGAGATCTCGTATCGTCAATGTTAGTAAGCGAGAAGCTCGCATCTTTCAAGCTGCTAAAAACGTGAGTCAACTCTAGTGACTCGTTGTACACGTATATGGGTTTCGATCTAGGCATCTTTGTTGATCATAATTTTTTGACGCGATTTTATCTCCTTCACCAACCAATGAAATAGCAAGAATTCAAATTCCAACTGGTTGGCTTTTTACAGATTTATTATTGCACATGTAATTATGTAACCAGCGCATTTCGACCTACGTAACCAATAGTATCATCCTTCTCATTTAATCAATCATACGTACGGTACTTACGGTACTTACGGTACTTAATTGCTGGCAAGTCCGAAAAATTATTTAATTACCAAACATTGATTTCAATAATACGTCATAATCTACATCATTTGAAGCAGAGATTTATTGTAATGACGATAGAATTACCACAAAAGAACTTTTTTTTTTTTAGATATGAGATTAATAGTTAAATAATCCTTTTGCGTATCTTTTCTGACACGTATAAAATTGGATTAGTAATTTTCTTGTTTCTGACGTAAAGACAAATTGATTACCTAATCTAATAAAGATCCAAAGATCAAATAAATTCACACCAGACTTTCAGCGAAATTTGTAATCACACATACCTTACTTACTTTCTTGCACCAATCCGCTCTATAATAAGGAAGATAAACACATAAAATTTTTTCTCGAGAGGTTTACTGTTCCATCAAACATATACGATATTCATAATGACAACACTTCATAAGCGTAACCAAGAAAGAACTCACGAAGGTTCATGTCTCGCATTGTTATATCTTTCATTTTCAAGTAGCGTTGGACGTATTTTCAAATGTCATGTAAACCATCTGCATTTTCAGAAAATCAAGAACGTGCTTACATCGCAGCGAGTCATCGTGGGGTGAGTGATTGTTCAATTTTTTCGCGATGTACACCAAAAGAATGAGGATCCTAAATTTATGCATCTTGATTACGATTTTCCGCGTTGGTGTTGCTCGTGTCCAAAAATGGCATCACGACGGCTTCATTATGCATTCTTTTTATCACAATCTTCATATTAGGACCGTAGCATGGAGGCACGTATCGAATCGGCCCGTAAAGCCTCGGAAATTCACAAAAAACGGACAGGAAAAGCCTTACGCATCACTCCGGAAGACGTTAGAAACGAAGAAATGTACCAGGAAGTTGATAACGAAGAACAAGAAAAGTTGGAACAGTTTCATCGAGAGGTAATCGGTGAACCCCCTCGTCCTCAAGGTCGTGGTGTCCATCTCCCTTATGATCAACAAAAATAGAACAAAATTTTATCAAGAATTGACTAATGCAATGCGGTGTAAGATAATTAGATGGGTGTATATTTTCCCTCTTTTGGAAGGCAAAATTAAATAAAGTGCTTTTTCTGTGTCATCCTTTTCACCTACACACATATATATATATACGTATACGCACATGTACAGTATATGTATTTTTTTTTCTCTCTTTTTTTTTTTTATTCCTTTTTTATTTCTTTTCAACATCCTTTGCATATTTTCATCTCACCTCTGTATCTCTCCTTCCCCCAAATAACACAATATATATATATATATATATATAATACGTATACATATCTCTATATTTATACCAATGTCTATATATGTAAAAAAGAAAAGGTTACTTTGAATATGGAGCGGGACGCAGTTTGCACTCATGCATAGACATTGGCGAGCGTATCTTTATCTCTATCATTAAATTTCTCTTGCTGCATATATCCCAAACACGGGAATCATGTGACACGTATGGAAAACGTCAAATTTTGATCGTTTCCCTTTTGTAACTCATCCAATTTAGCGTGCAAGAGTAATAATGTTGAGATCATGTTGAACGCGAGAGTGACGCGTCAAAGGTTGAATTGTTGTCACAAACGATGAGGATCCTTGATAATACGCACGGGCGATATTGTTGTGTTTCCCAAATTTCCGTCGAAACGATCGCGACTATTTCCAGTACAAAAGTTTCTCCCGGTAAGTGTCCAAATTACTATTAATGAATCACCAAATTTTGGTAGAATTTATATGACCGTCACCTTTCGATTGTGATAAGTCAATTCTCATTCCTTGACAGAATTTACCTTTGCAGGTCACGGCTGCATCTCTTTGAACCGAGAGTTCTCATGCTTCGAGCAGCATGTGCCCCAAAATGTGATCGGTCGTACCTGGCGAGATCGACAAGGATTCGTCTTTAACAGAAATCCGACCGTTAAGAATCTCACAATCCACGATCCATCGTCATCAACTATCCTATGATTGTGGCTACATAAAGGTGAGGCGGCTTAGAGTGGCCCCGGTGCTATGAATCATTTCTCAGGAGAGTTAATTGCATACTACATTGGTTGAGGTACCTTACGCCAGTCCGTTCGATTAAAAATAAGGTTGCTAGTCTATCGGAGATAACACCGATCCTCGTGACATTTAATGGAACAGTGAGGCTGAGAAAGGTCAGTGCTCTTGGGATAAACTAATGTCACTGCAACAGAATTAATATGAATACGAGGTTCTTCCCTCATTTGCGTGGTTCGCGTTGCGAAAATTTAAATCAAATAATTTATCACCGTCAAAATGAATTAATGTAGGGACTTGCGTAAAGGTGTTCGTTCGTCCGACCGCTACCGAAGGATACGCATCTTAATCGATCGCGTACTGACGTAAAATTTTAACCGGCTAGCAACGTCTCGTTATCTACCTATTAATGCCTATATACTTTATCCTACATGATTTTACTTATAACTAATTTTTAGATGTTTTCTTTTAAAAATTACATATCTCAATATTTTTCCTAATTTGTTAATATCCGTCGAACATACAGTATGTGACAAGAAAAGATTAACGTGCTTTTTTAGTTTGTTTTTGAAATTCACCAGAGGTGGTCAACCTATTCGAAAACCATGTTGCAAGTTCATTGTGATAGATGCTCTTTCTTGCCCAATGCTTCCAGTGAGTTCCGGTAAATGATAATGTGTGGGAAGAAGCATTCGTGAGACTAGTTCGTGAAGGAATTAGCGGGAGATCTACTTGATGTCGACTTCACGGACAGCGGAAGAGAACCATTCAAGCATTTTCATTTTGTGGATCGGTGACCCATCTTTTTTATATCGGTGTCAAATAATAAGATACATCCACCAGTTTCGAAGATGCCGACTTTGCGCCTGAGCCACCAATCCGGTAATCTTTCACTTGACTTATTCGCTTTTGAACCTTTCGAATTACAAAATACTAACGTACGATTCGACCATTCTTGATTACACGGTTACTTACATACGTCAGTTTTCTATGGACTCCGAGTGATCACTGAGTTGAAGTCGGACAGAGTCTGGATGTTGATTAAATAATTTGTTAGATTGAATAAGAACAAGTTACATCATTGTTCAAACTATGGATTGCTAAATTTAGCTGTTATTCAACGGGAATAGCTCTTTATTTCGGTCATCGACAAGGCCCTAATCAGGTTCATCTTGTTAATGAATAAGGATTTTTTTTTCTTAGAGGGTGCTTTATTTACTTGCAGAGTTACCCAGGAATCAAATCCGTCATTGAAAAGGAATAAGGAATACAGCCGACTATCATTGTTGTTCTCGACCCGCATTGTTTTTATTGATATTTGCACGCACCCTATGGTCAGAATTACGAAAATCGATTAATTTTCCTGACGCCACGAGAACCGCTGAAATTCTTCACGGAGATACTTTGGATTGGTGAGTGTTACCTTACCTCATTAAAAAAGAAAAAAAAGAATGCATGGAAGAACTTTTGAAAAGAGCGTATGCTAGTACCGATGGAATTTATGTTAGGACAGGTTTTACTAGGAAATCAAGAGTTATCATAAAATCATCACTTTTGTGATTGTTGTCAGACCTTGAATTTGGAAATCCCTTAGGCAACAGCCGTATTCTTTCTTAATTCGATTTTTCCATTATTGTCTACGGAGTATTAGGCTATTGGATAATGTCTGCCTGGTTTTGGTGGTCATTCACTTATGCCCCGAAAAAAAAAAATAAAAAAAAAAAAAAATAAAAAAACCCACATGGTCACGTGACACGGTGTTATAATGGCATAAAGAAAGGACGAAATTTATGGCCGTATGGGTTATCTGAGGTCAGTGAAAACCAACCGTCGGTTATTTGATGTCCAATTCATTTGGAAAAGAAGTTCTAAAGATTTGATAGCGATAATGATGATGATAACTAATCTTTCGCAAGATTTCATCAAGATTCGCAACAGCATAAGATTAATTTACCTGTATTCTGTGGCTTCTGAAACAGTGAAGGGAGTAGAAAGAATAGCCACGATAAGCAAAAACAACTCCTTTACCCCTTACATATCATAGTCAAAAAAAAACAAATAAACTGCAGCTGAAAACCGCAACTTCTGAAAAGTAACCAAAAAAAACAAACAAAAAACAATCGAGATTCAATGATTTTGCACGAATATGACTCGTTAATAAAATTAGCATCGCCCTAAGTAAAAAAAAATATCGCCTGAAAGTACAATTGTGTTTCTTAAACTGACATGTTATAGGAAACAAGAAAAAAACAATAAATTTCTTGATATGGTTTTCCCGAAAAAAATTTTTTACATTCGAACTATTTACGCGAAAAAGAACCTGTGAAAAGCCGCATACACATAGTCAAGCCATGATATGATTGAAGCCATCTATGTGTGAAAAAAGCCATGATTGCCTAATCCTAGAGAAGTTGGATTTCATAGGATGAAAAGTGACACAAGAAGCCAGGTGGCAGTTCGCGGCTTACATTCAGAATGGTTTTCTTTATAATAGAAACCTTTCGACGTGCAAACGACTAAATAGCCCACCCCTGAAAATTAAGCCACAATTGCAGTATGTATATAACCACTCTAGGATCTCGCCTCGGACTTGGGAATGCAGACCGGTGTCCTGACCGGAACCTTGTTATTTCGCATGTGATTTACTAATTCTATTAATCTTTTAGACAATTTCAACTAATTTTTCTCAAGATTTGAAGTATATTTTTATAAATCCCTTCAAGGGGTTTTCTAGTATACAGTATATACTTTAAAGAAATTATTGAATACATTGGTTTATAAAAAAAAAATACAAGTAAAGTGGGTTTGGCATAATTATATTAAATCCGCTTAATATACTATAGTTTGTACACAGTTAAGTTATAGTATATCCACTCAACTAGATGGATTCAACTCAATTTTACTATCATATTTTATTCTTAATTATCTAGCAATGATTGGTTTGTGATTATATCATGATATTAGCTTGCAAAATTAGTTTGCAAAAAAAAAAAAAATAAATTATTGGTATTATAATTATTTAAGGGAGTTGATTTATGAAGTTAGTTTATAGACTTACATATTAATCTTATTTCTACCTATGATATCAAAATTAAAAAAATATTTTTTTATAATTTGTAACTTAATAGATTAATCTAATTTCAAAATTTCAAACATCTTTAAAACTAATTAACTAAATATAATACTTTATTAATTGGATAATTATTTTTAAAAATACCTTTATATCACAAAAACTCTTTCCGCTGATCCTTTGATCACACACAAAAAAGATGTTCACAAGAAGATTTATACTTCTTTGCTAATAAAGTCTTTACACTTTCATTAAAACAACTTGAAGCTTGTCTTCATGTATCTTCTTTACCCTCCCTTACTTGTTTATAAACTTCTTTAAATAAAAACTTGAGCCTCTAGTGATCTGAAAAGACTCAAGTATGCACTTCCTCTACTAAGGGCAAGAAGGTTCTAGAAAATAAAAGGATTGACAAGTGAAGTGTCACCTTACAGAGCTAGAAGCGACAAGAAATAAAGGTTTTGTTGGCAGAGGAAGGCTTATTTTTCACCTTCTCACATATTGTCTTGTATCCTCTTAAAGTGTCTATCATTTTTCATAGTTTTCTTGAGAGATTTTGCCTACCTCAGTTTGATCCTGAATTTTTGGTAGTACAACATCACCTGACATCTGATTGGTTGACACGAAACACATTAGTAACTGAATGTAAACAAGCTCCTATTGGTCATCTCACGTGTTCCGATAACATTATTGGTAATAAAAAGAGTTGATTGGTGTCCCGTGTCTATTCCACTTCTCCAATTGGATTAACCTATAGATCAAGTATCATGAGACCAATAAGATATAAGCAACAAGTTCCCAGGTGATAAAAAAGTTACTATTCGTTCAAGCTGAAGTCTTTCTTTTCTATCATTCTAGTCAGGCAAAGTTCAAGACCAAGGTCTCCTTTTTATCCCAGTCAGACAATAAGACCGAATGGTCTCTAGTCTATGCTAAGCTCTAACCCTTTGGTTATAGTTAAGAATATATTTCCCCAGAAGTTGTTGAAGGATATCGTAATCGACTAAGAATCCCCACCACTTTGTAAACCCTTCCACCATTACAAGGCAAAAGGATTGTTAGGGAATCTAGCCTTTTGGGTAATGGAAGATGTGCAGTACACCAGTAAAATTCCTTTAATTAGGTGTGGCTGCTGAAAAATATCATACTGAAACAACACGACCCAGTTCCTACTAGGTCACATAAGAACCTGGGGTCTATCATAAGTCACCCTTCTATCACAGATGGATAAAAAATCACTGCTCAAAGAAAGTTGGGACCAAGTATATCCTAGAAATAAAGGCTCTCACTAGACAATAAGTCTTCTCAGACGGTACACAAAAAGAAAATCAAGATCAAGAATGGATAAGTTCCTCAGACGGTCAGGAAAAAAAAAAATATTCCAATCGGGCATTTCTTATTGAGAAGAGATCTTGAGAAGCAGATCTTTGGAGGAAGCTGAAAATATTTTTTTTTAATTTTACTTTTTCATTTTCTTGTTAGTCTGCTTAGACATTTTTAGATATCTCCCCTCTCCTTTTTTTTCAACCCATCCTTTTGTAGTTTTCTGTATTCCAGTGGCTTGGTTAGACACACGGCAATGACAACCTGCTGGCAATGATGTAGTGAACTAGGAGGATCTTCACCCAAAGACATTGCGGAGCGAAATATTATTCCCAAGGCCGAACTTAGAGGCTTTTATGCTTATGACAAGTTAGTTAGATTAGAATAATAGTTTAGCTTTAGTATGTATCATGCTGCTTGAATGAAAATGTACTTTTGTCTTCATTTGATTAATAAACTGATGATCTAGCCTGGCTACGGATACTTAAAAAAAAAAAAGATAATTATTTTTAAAAATAAATCAAAAATTTTTAAAATTCAAAATTATAATCTTAAAATTATAACTTTAAAATTA